AAAAAAATAATATTAATGTTCCTCCAACCACATATATTAAATAATCTTATCATCTATAATTTTTTATTTTGTTTGATGAGGAAAGTGGAATATGAATTTAAACACAAAAACTAAATAGAGACAGTGAAATTTAAACACTTACTGGTTAGAGTTTGTCTTCCAAACTCCATATCTTTGTCTTCCAGAATATACCCACTTAGGGTTTCCATTTCAGAAACATTGATCTCTTTCTCTTCTAGAATACCCAATTGTTTTTGTTGGGGAGGGAATGAACGAACCGCGAAAATTTGCTTTTATTGGCACGTGTTATTGAGGTGGCACGTGACTTCAATTTCTGGAAAGTTATGACTTGTCTACTCAGCAACTCCCTTTGCATTTGCAGTTTGCAGCTCTTCATTTCACACTGCACTAATTATTTCCCAAATTTTCAGAAACTTACTGTAATATATTATCAAATGAAATTCAAATTAGAATTAAATAGTAGTAAATCAATCAACAACACCTTACCCTCAAACCCACGGATATGTAGAATATTTCAAGAAAGGTTTAAGGAGGTTCTTAGCATTGGGATAATCCCACTCCACTGATTCCCACCATTCTTTTGACTCTTCATCCATCTTGATTTCTCTGAGACGAGGAGGAAGAGATGGTTGGCCATTATCAAGCAAGCGAAGCTGCACCGGGATCCTCTTTAACTCCCGACATCCCCATATTCCAATTTCTTCAATAGAATCACAAACCATAACTCCTTTGGCACTGTAGATGCTCTTCAATTGGGGTAAATCCGCCAAGTGCAATATCCTTAACTTGGGAAAAGTGAATTTATCCGATGATGCATCTGAATCTGATGATGCTATTATCTCCTCCATGTGTTTGCAGTTACCAACTTCAATCTCCTCTAAGTTTTGGAAGGCCTGCTGTAGATCAAGTGGAAGCAATTTGCTCATTCCTGGACAATCTATTATTATAAGTATTTTAAGATTGGAAAAGATGTGCGGTGGTGTTGCTGCTCCTTCCACTCTCACAAGTTCACATAACTTAGGCAAACTATGAAGGTGCAGCATTTTAAGCTTATCAAGTACTAGACAACACAATGAGGAGGAGGAGGATGAGTCCAACTCAACCATGCACTCTATCTCTTCACTTTTCCAAATAAAGCACCGTCTCAACTCATTTGCTTCCATTTCAAACATGACTGTTCTGTTTAAGCTGCTTCTCATGTTTCTACCCCCAATTATCCACAAATCCTCAAGGTTATTTGGAAGCACTACACATTCTTCCCAAATCTCACATTCAGTAATTACAAGCTCATATTTGCTCCATCTCATCATGTCTCTTGCTGTCCCAACTCCAAGACTGTAAGCAATAGCACTTTGGAAATCTTTGAACTTGTTGACAAAATGATTAAAGTCTTGTATGCCATCAAATTGACATTCTAAAGTCTCCAACTTCTTCAATCTAGCAACCTCTTCTAAATTTCTTATTATTGTAGTTTCTCGCAAACAACATACTGCCAAGTATTGGAGATTAGAAAGGTTAGGTAATATTCCTGTTGGAATCTCTCTCAAATTTTGACAAAATAACAAATCAAGATATTCAAGACTTATCAACATCCCCATGCCTTGAGGGACCACCTCAATACCTGCCTTGTGTAGGTCCAACTTCTTCAATTCCCTGAGGTTTGCCAAGGAAGGCAAGTACTTTAACTTCATGCAATGCTGTAACCGCAGGGCAGATAGATTCTCTAATTTAGAGATGGAATTAGGTAGAGTCTCAATAGCAGTGTTAGAGAGATCAAGAACCTTCAAAGCAAGCATCTCTCCAAAAAAAGATTCTGGAATCTCTGACAAATTAGGATTACTTGATAGTATCAAAGTCGACAGGCTCAAACACTTTGGGGACAGACTAGGAGGAACTTTTAAAATGTTATTTGCCATTAGAGACAACTTCTTAGGATCTTTTACCCAACCATGCCCATCTGGTAGCTCTACCAAATTCATACCAGCTTTTATCACATATCCAAATTCAGGACCAATGCTTATGATAGCCATGTCTCTCACTACATCATGCATCTTAGCACTAGGAATACCAAATGAATATCCACCTAGGCTTATAAATGGCCGAAGTGATCGAAAAGTGGCTTTCTCTGGTGACCCAAAATTGTCTTTCTCTAATAAGAAATTCTTTTCGAGCCTATCTATAATAGCATGGCCCCTATCTGAAGCTGCTTTTCTACTTGGCAACCCATCAATTAGTCCTTCATCAATCCAACATTCTATCAACTCCCTTTTAGAAAACACATAATCCTCCCGAAAGAAGGAGCAATAAAGAAAACAACTCTTAACTTCCAAACTATCCAACCGATCAAAACTAAACCTTAACCGCTTAAATATCTCATCATTTGAATCTTTCACACTACTTACACGAACTCGTAATTCAGTCAATGCATTTCTCCACACATTAACATCATCAACTCCCCTCATGCTCCCAGCAATCACAACAATGGCCAGTGGCAAGCCGGCACACTCTTCCACAATAAGCTTTAAGATTTCTTCCAACCCTGGAACTTGTAAAACACCATCCCCAACTGTATCGAGGAATAACTTTAGAGACTCCTCCTGTGAAAGAGGTTTCACTTCAACAATCTTACAACGCAAATAACTGCATACTTCAATTGATCTACTAGTGACAACTACTTTGCACCCATTCTGCACATTCGGATCCGGAATTCCAACTTCCTTAAGAGAGAACTTTTGACATACATCATCTAATATTATAACATACCTCACTCTTCTCATTATTTCCATTAGTGATGCTGCTCGCATCATCACCTCTTCATCATCTCGAAGTCTTTGGCCCATAGCATCAGCAATCTTCTTTTGTAATTTGAAAACATTGAGAGGATATGATACGGTAACCCAGATCACTTTCTCAAATCTAGTCTCCCTTTGCAAATCATTGTGGAGATTCTTCATGATCGTAGTCTTTCCAACTCCACCAATCCCACAAACTCCGATCATTCCAACGTCATCACCCATCAAATACCTCCAAATTTCTTCTTTAGTAGAAATTTGCCCTACTAAATTCTCTGTTGGAATTATGTTTCCATGAGTTGGAGCCCTCTCAATAACAAGGCCTTCAGGAAAACTACCTTTATCAAGCATTTCCTTCACCATATTAATTTTTCTACAAACAAGGCTGTCAAGACAAGCTCGCTTGTACCACTTGACTCCCTGCACCCTTGCCAAAAATGGTCGCAGTTTAGCATTGATCTCTTCTGCTTGCTTAAGCCATTCTTGCACTTGTTGTCTAACCATTTGTCCCCCGCGAGCCTCTGCTTCTTTCGTTCTTGATTCTATATCTTGTTTCTGGCTAGTTAGACTGTCCAATTTTCTTCCCAGCTCATCCACGTCATCATTAAAATTTCTATGTTGATCTATACAGTTGCAGGTTGGAGTACCACAAATGCAACTCAATGCACCGAATATTGCTCCTACTATTTCCGCCGCCATTAGAAAAGGTCCTAAAACATAATAAATAATGTGAATAAAAGTGTTCGTTAACAGAAAATTTGAAAGCATGATTGTATTTTTTGCAAACTTTTGTCTTTAATTGCTAAAAACTTAAAAGTTTAAGCAGTTAAATTACTTAATGATGTTTCAGCTGCTGGTTGATTAGTAAATTAATCAAGTTTACCAGATGTGATTTGCATGTTATTACCGAAAGAAGAATCAGTTAGTAGATCTCAATTAAAAGTCAACTAACATTGTTAATATATGAGGCCTAGGAGTAGGACTTAAGCTGAACTCATTTTTCCTTGTCAATTTTCTAATATTGACCAGATGAGAAGAAGAAAGGCGCCATTCAACAGCCAAAGGGACAGCAGAAAGTTAAGGTGGTTCTGGGAGGAACTTTTACAAGGTTAAGGCTACGCTATTGTAAGTTTTAACTTTATTTTAACTTGATCTAGTGGATTCTGGAGGTTAAGTTGCTAGAATCAGAAATGGGAAAGGTGGAAATTGTCCCCAATATTTTTCCAGTTGAAGCAAATTTGCACACACACACACAAAACAAAAAAAAAAGGAAGGAAGAATCAAATTGCTACCATAAAATTTCATTTTAAATAATTGGCCCAAATTTAATGGTTAACAATTAACATCTATTTTTCATTAACTCTAAGAGCAACAGTTTAACCAAAAGTTGATATCATTGTTAAATTTGAGTTGATTTCTCTAAAATGAAAATTTGAAGTGGTGATTTGCTTTCATTTTTTTATTAGGTATTAATTTGCTTCAACTCGAAAATATTGGGAGGCAATTTACGTGTTTGGCTAATTGGAAATTGGTGAATTCAAACGGTAGTTAGAACTAGGAAAACTTAAATAAGATACGGGTAAGGAATCTAAGTACATGAAAAGTAAAATTACCTTAAGTTTGTTCCTTCTTGCTGTCTGGTGTGTTGAAACTGTACGGTAGATGATTTTTTGGTTGAAAATCTATGACAAATGAGATGAGAAACTGTGTTAGTTATGCAAATATTTAATCCTGTTTTTATATATTTAGGTACATGCAAAGTAAAATTGCCTTAGGTTTGTTCCTTCTCGCTGTCTAGTGTGCTAAAACTTTGTGGTAGATGATTTTCTGGTTGAAAACCTGTAAACAAATGAGATGAGAAACTGTGTTAGGTATGCAGTTATTTAATACTGCTTTTATATATCTAAGTACATGCAAAGTAAAATTACTTTAAATTTGTTCTTTGTTGCTGTCTTGTGTGTTGAAACTCTGTGAAAGATGATTCTCCGGTTAAAAATCTATGAATAAATGAGATGAGAAACTGTGTTAGTTATGCAGTTATTTAATACTACTTTTATATATTTAAGTACATGCAAAATAAAATTACCTTAAATGTGTTCCTTCTTGATATCTTATGTGTTGAAACTCTGCAGTATATGATTTTTTTAGCTAAAAGTCTGTGAACAAATGAGATGAGAAACTACGTTAGCCATGCAATTGTTTAATACTGCTTTTAATTATTTAAGTACATGCAAAGTAAAATTACCTTTAATTTGTTTCTTGTTCCTATCTTGTGTGCTGAAACTCTGTAATAGATGATTTTTTGGTTGAAAATCAGTGAACAAATGAAATGAGAAACCGTGTTTGTTATGCAATTATACAATACTGCTTATATGTGGGTATATATATAAGCTGTTTATGATTCATGTATTGAGTAAACGACACAAAACATGTTGCATTTGAATCTATGGCAACGACCTATGCTGATGATTAGGGAAAAGGGCTCCTAATTGTATTTGAGGATGCTCTCAAAGTTAACTGGAGTTGACTTGAGTTGTTAGGCTTCTGTCAAGTCGGATGTCTTAGCTGGTCTATCGACTTTATGAAATGTATACTCACAGAATGAATTCCATAAATTTTCTTATGGACATATAAAAACATAAATTCATGCATAAAGTTTACTTTTTGCTGATTATATATCTGGGGGAAAAGTGTTTGTCATTTGAGCCTCTAAAAATTTAAGTAAAAAATTATTTTAAAATTGTGTCATTTTAATAAATTTTAATTGAAAAAACTAAAATAACATACTTTTAAATTAAAAGTGAGTTTGTTTTGATATTTTTCTGTGATATTTTCATGACTGATAAGCACCAATCTCATATATTTGAAACTTGATATATTTGTATATTTGCTAAGGGTTAATTCCTGACTTAAATGTTTGGTGCTAGTAAGCATTTTTTATGGAATAGATTCTGCACCCTTGGGGCATAAAAATGCTATTTTTTCTAGTAGATTAAGTTCAGACTTCTAAATATTGGTTCGTGTTGCACAAATTAAGCTAAGTTAAATTATTGCTATACTTCTTGAGCTTTGCAGCTCATGAAGGTTTTATCTTCCTATTATTACAATTAGAGCTGCAAAAGTCCGAGTGGGCACCTCGGCGCGAGGTAGGCCTCCGTTACCTGCCTTTGCAGCTCAAGAAGGTGTATCTGCCTATAAACACTTTGTATTTACATTTTTACATTTTCATTGATTTTCTATATTTTTTATTTTATGGATAATATAATAATAATTAAATTTTAAAATCAATTCAAAATTAAATTACTAGTACTAATAAATGAAAATTTTAAATTAATTTTAAAAATAGAATTAATTTAGATTTAAATTACTATTTCAAGTTAAAAAATAATATTGAATTAAAATCAATCAACTCAAGAACCTGGCCTTCTGAGCCAAGTGACTTTGACTATTCTTATAAGGTTCATATCTCCCTTCCCAGGGTAACGGTTCGAGCCGGCACCATGACAAAATATTCAAAAAAAAAAAATCAATCAACTCAATTTAATTTAAAAAATAAAATAAAGAATTAACTAGTCAATGAAATGAATGAAACCAATTTGACATTAAAATTAATCTCAACTAATTTTGGAAATAAAATGAACGAAAGAAAAAATTTAAAATTAATATAACATCAATGTTTGTAGATGATTAATAAGGAAAAATATGTTGGTTATTTTAATAAATTTATGGATTGAAAATAATTTAAAATCAATTAATTTTAAAAATATAATGAATTTTGTAAATAAATTCTTTAAAGTTAATAGGTTTTTAAGCGTGTTAGGATTTGATTTTGAGAGTATCAAAGCTAAAATGCCTTTACTTGAGGTTTTAGTTCTAAAATTTTTAACTGAATTTATACATTTCCTACTTAAAATTACAAAAGTTTCTAATTTATAATTCAAACCTATTTTCAAGTTAAAATTTAGATTTGAGCTGTGACATCTAGAGAGTTAATATATTGTCATACACTCAAGTAATGAAATATTGAAATTTGATTTTTGGGGTAATTAGGTCAGGAAAGCATGTTCTACAACTCTTGCAAGATGAATGAATTATCAGAATTTCTAGTAAAAAGGAAAATAATTAATACCTGGTGTAGATTGCTTCTTTAATGTAATCCACTGGTTGGTTGCTGCCCTTTTTTTTTTTTTTTTGAGACCTCTCTGACAAATCTTAATCAGTGACTTTATGAAACTTGCAAAGATAAGAGTATAAACTTGCAGTCATGGGTATGTTTATATAGTTAATCAACCAAAATTCGAATCCTGTGTGACAAGATAAGGAAATCTAAAAACGCAGCAAGGTACTTTTGGATTCTGGTCCACTCGGAGAAGTAAGGAATACAAGTACCAAAAAAAGTAAGGCATCTTACAAAGCAAAGCAAAATGAAAATAAAGAAAAAGAACAAGAAAGTAAGGCATCTTACAAAGCAATACTGGAAATGAAGAAAAGTAAAGAACCAAGGCATCTTACAAAGCAAAATTCAAAATGAAGAAAAGAACAAGCAGAGAAGAAGCCAAGGTTCTGATTCTGACATAAATTTTTTTGTTTGTATGGTATGATGTGATATTAAACTTAATGTGCAGGCCCCAAATAAAAAAATGAATGTAACAGTTGCATTATATAAATACCA